TTGTGCAGACCAGCCCCACGGCCCCGACCCTTATTGTTTCTGTCTTTGCTCTCGCCGCCTGCAGCGGCACCGCCCGAGCCCTTGGCCTCTCTAGTAAAGCCTCGCACTCCATGGAGAAGATGCACTCGCACAGCTGCACCTGCCGCACGGCCAGCCCGACCCCAACGAGGTCGGGATGATTGAGCTGGCCCCAGCACCCGAGGTGCTCGATCATCCTCATGATATTCTCGTAGTGGCTGACGCCGAAATCGTCCTGCGTGAGGTGGTAAAGCTGATGAAAGCATTGTAGTACTCCACCAGGCCACCTTGCTTCCTGTCGGTGAACTGGCAACGCCACAGCACCGTGCGAGGGCCGTCCAGCAACAACCCAGGAATGCGGTTCTCCACCAAGCGAGGAACAACTTCGCGCCAGGTCAAGCGCGCGCGACCTCCGTCCGCCATCGGCGGTACCCCCAGCAGTCTGATGTCCGACCCATTTTCCGCACACTGGTATACCGCCGGCGAGATGGTGTTGCGTCGGATCGCCACCCAGCCCGCACCCGAGTTTCTCCGAGCCGTTGGGCAGCAGTGCCCCCACGTTTGCCAGCGCTGGTCGTCTCCACCAGCACCCACACGGGTCAAGGATGCGCCGCCGCAAGGGGAATCCCAGAGCCCGCACCCGCAGGCAGCCCACGGAGGGGCGCGGCGGCGGCCGCGGCGGCCGCGGGGCCGCCAGCAGGAAGCCCGCCAGCGGCCACGGCGGCCGCTGCAGGGGCCGCGGGGCCGCCAGCGGCGGCAACCCCCGCCAGGGCGACTGCCAAAGACTGGGCTCCCGCCGCGGGCGCCGGGGCAGCAGCAGGCGCGACCGCGGCGCAGTTGAACTCAACGTAGGCGCCGCCAGGAAGGACCACCTGAGGACGGCCAGCCGCCCGCTCGCGATCGAGGTACAAGTCTGAGGCCATCTGCGGGAGCGCGTCACCGATCGCCTGGGTCTCTCGTGCATTCGGCTTTCGGCGGGACCAGTACTGCTGATTCGGTTCCACACCCTCGAGAGCCCGCCACAGCTGTGAGAACACGACCGCTACGAAGTCGGTGCCGCCCGTGGAGTAGCACTCTTCGTACACGTCATGATCGGGCGCCGAGATAACACTGAGCGGGCCACTGATCTCCACCCGAGGATTCTGCGATCTGCCACAAACTCTCAGCTGATGCAACAGCGGATCGCCGCGGTACTGCACCCAGGCCCAAGGCTGGACGCCTGCGGGCGGAGGCACTCGGGCGGCCATCTCCACGTCGCACCAGGCACCACAACGTCGTCACGAGCCCGCGTCCGAACCGGGCCGAGACCAGCAGCACCTTGCCCAGGAGAAGCGGAATCCAGCTCCACGCCCCGCTTGCGATAGCGAGCTCCACTGGCGTCGGAGCCGGCGTGGCAGCCCGAGGAGCCTCTGGCGGTGGCGGCGGCGCAGGGGCCGCGGCCAGGGGCGGTGCCGCTGGCACCGCGGGGCACGTCGGAGGCTGCTCCTGCGGCCGTCAGTGCACCTCCCAGCACAGAAGGCTGCCGCACGCCGCCGGTGGGCAGGTGGGCGCGGGCGAGCACTCGGGTGCCCGCGGACGCGGCGCTGCCCTCGATATCCAGGCCGCCAGGAGGTTGGGCACCGCGCCGAAGGCGAGGACAGTGGCGTGGCCAACCATCCGCACCGTCCGAACAGACGCCCCAGCTTGCTGGGTGAACGGCTTGAGCGCGTATGCCCACGCCCCCCCCCCCCCGATCCCACCCGCAGCAAAGAAGACATGGCACGCCATGGTAATACTTGTAGGTCCACATGCATACCTATACGACCACCCTTCGGGTGACAAGGAGGAGAGGGGGGGAGGAGAAACCAACGTCTCACTCAATCGATCTCACTGTCGATCCCACAATCGATTTCACAATCGATCTCACTCGATCGATCTCACTATCGATATCACTCAATCGATATCACTATCGATCCCACTATGGATCTCGCTATCGATCTCACTCGATCGATCTCACTATCGATCTCACTATCGATCTCACAAGCGATTTCGTTTTCGGTCTCACGATCGATCTCACTATCGATATCAATATCGATCTCACTATCGATCGATCTCACTATCGACACCACTATCGATAGTACTATCGGTCTCACCATCGATCTCATGATCCATCTCACTATCGATCTCACTATCGATCTCACTAACGATCCCACGATCGATCTCGCTATCGACCGTACTATCGATCTCACTCGATCGATCTTACTATCGATCTCACTCGATCGAACTCACTGTCGATCTCACTCTCGATCTCACTATCGACCTCAATATCGCTCCCACTATCGATCGATCTCACTATCGATACCACCATCGATCTCACTATCGATCTCACTATCGATCTCTCACTATCGATCTTACTATCGATCTCACTATCGGTCTCATGATCGATCTCACTACCGATCTCACTATCAATCTCACTTTCGATCTCACCACGGGACACCACGGGACAACGACGGGACACCGGCGGGACACCAGCGGGACACCAGCGGGACACCGGCGGGACACAGCGCGCCACTGGTTGCCGGGCGGAGAACCTTTTGGTCCGGCCGCGGCCCAGCCACGACGGGACACCGGCGGGAAGCGGGACACCGGCGAGACAGGGAGGAGAAACCAACGTCTCGCTCAATCGATCTAACCATCGATCCCACAATCTATTTCACAATCGATCTCACTCGATCGATCTCACTATCGATCTCACTCGATCGATCTCACTATCTATCCCACGATCGATCTCGCTATCGATCTCACTATCGATCTCACTCGATCGATCTCACTATCGATCTCACTATCGATCTCACAAGCGATTTCGTTTTCGGTCTCACGATCGATCTCACTATCGATCTCAATATCGATCCCACTATCGATCGATCTCACTATCGACACCACTATCGATAGTACTATCGGTCTCACCATCGATCTCATGATCCATCTCACTATCGATCTCACTAACGATCCCACGATCGATCTCGCTATCGACCGTACTATCGATCTCACTCGATCGATCTCGCTATCGATCTCGATCGATTTTACTGTCGATCTCACTCTCGATCTCACTATGGATCTCAATATCGATTCCACTATCGATCGATCTCACTATCGATACCACTATCGATCTCACCATCGATCTCACTATCGATCTCTCACTATCGATCTCACTATCGATTTCACCATCGGTCTCATGATCGATCTCACTACCGATCTCACTATCGATCTCACTGTCGATCTCACCACGGGACACCACGGGACAACGACGGGACACCGGCGGGACACCAGCGGGACACAAGCGGGACACCGGCGGGACACAGCGCGCCACTGGTTGCCGGGCGGAGAACCTTTTGGTCTGGCCGCGGCCCAGCCACGACGGGACACCGGCGGGACACCAGCGGGACACCAGCGGGACACCGGCGGGACACCGCGCGCCACCGGTTGCCGGGCTGAGAACCTTTTGGTCCAGCCGCGGCCCAGCCTCAGGAGAATTTCCTCTCCCCCGCCCACGCAGCTTCGCCTCGCCCGCACGCACGGCACGAACACGAAACCAAAATCGATTTCCCGGTGGGGGGCTATCCGTTCCACTTCGATCTCACCCCCTCACCTCCGATACAACTAGACCGATACGAGTCAGAATCAATAAAAGAAAAAACGCCGTCCTCATCCTCCTCATTATCCTGCCTCCTCCTACCCGTTCGTTCGTTCGTAGACTGAGAGTATGTACTTGCAGCTGCCTATCTAGCTGGTCTCCTCCACCTCGCCCTCCTCATCCTCCGGGAAAATCTATGGAGGCCACCAGAGGTCCAACGACGTCCACGAAAATCCCAAAACCTCCAAGCTCTAGATCCTCCAAACCCTCCTCCCTCCTCCTCCTCTCCTCCCCTCCTCCCCCCACCTCCTCCGTCACCCCCCGAGCCCACCGTGCACGCGTGGCCGCAGCCGCAGAGGTGGGCGAACGGCCAGACGACGACGACGACGACGACGACGACGACGACGACCACGACGACGACGACGACGACGACGACGACGACGGCGACGGCGACGGCGACAGCGACGGCGACGACGACGACGATGGCGGCGGCGGCGGCAGAGGCGGCGGCTGCGGCGGCGGCGGCGGCAGCGACGACGACGACGACGACGACGACGGCGACGGCGACGGCGACGGCGACGGCGACGGCGACGGCGACGACGATGGCAGCGACGGCAGCGGCGACGACGGCGACGACGGCGACGACGGCAACGACCAGGTGCGACTGTGACACCTCGACTCTTGATTCTCGATCCTTGGCCCTCGATCCTCCGCATCGACCCTCGATCTTCGATCCTCACTCTCGATCCTCGATCTTCGGTTCTCGATCCTCGATGCTCGACTCTCGATCCTCGATCCTCGACTCTCGATCCTCGACTCTCGATCCTCGACCCTCGATCCTCGATCCTCGATCCTCGACTCTCGATCCTTGGCAACCCCCAAACCAGGTGGTGAGACACCAAGTGGTGACCCGGAATCCCCGAAAAGTCACCGCCGGGTGAACACGGGGCCACCGCCGGGTCTCGGGACTCCTGGACCCACCAGCGCTCGGGACACCCTCGAAAGACCACACGAGTCCCCAAGCCGGGCGGTGCCACCCAATCGTCCGAGCCTCACCGCCGGGTGCTGTCGCCACCACGTCTGGGACCTGCCATGAGGTCGGGCATGTTCTCCTGCAGGCGGATTCTGGAGGAAAAATGGAAAATGGTAAAATAAAAAAAAATAAAAAAAAAAAAAATGGTAGAACAGTCCTCCCCAGACAAGTTTTGCTAGACTATGTTTGAACATTCCTCCTGTAGAGGGGCATGCCCGCTTTGACACCACGTTTGGGGACTACCACGACCCTCGATCCTCGACGAAACCAGCGCTGGTGGCGCCGAGCGGCCGCCGCGCAGACCCAGGGGAGGCGGGCGGGAGGCGGGGGCCGCGCGTCCTCGCGCCCTCGAGCGCGGCCCAGGTGGGCACCGGCAGCCTTCAGGTGGGGAGGTGGGGCAGAAATCCCACCCCCATAACAAGTGGCACGCGTGCCCTGGCTCTTGCACCAAGGAGCCGCGAGGGACAGGAGGCGATCGCCTCCTTCCTCCAGGAGCTTCCTTCTGTGGTTTGGGGGGGGAGGACGAACGACGAACGAGCGAACGACGACGAACGAAAACAAAGAGGTCCGAGCTCTAGAACACAGCTGTGCAAGAGAATAAAGTGAGCGTTTTCTTATTCGGCGTTTCGACATTGAGCAGAAGGGGGGGGCGTCTGGCTCTGGACCTCTGCTCAACGCAACTGTGTGCAACAGTGCGTCCATGTGCGATGGAAAAGGAGACTCCACCTGCTCGAAACAGGCGCCCAACACAGCCAAGATCTTCTCCACGAGGGGGAGGGAGGGGTGCGAGGGCCCGCGCCGATCGGCAAAACAGTGAATAAGAAAACAACTACAATAAGCACCCCGACCAGCGAAGCCGTTTAGCAAGCGCACCCAAGGAAAGAATCGAACAGGGCAGGGCTGTTCAGTACACGCCCAGGGCCGCTCAGTTAGCGCCGACTGTCCGGATCTGGGCCAGAAGAAGAAAAAAAGACTGCCTGAGCGTAAAAACTGCATCGCGCCCCGCCCAAAGTTTGTGCTTGTGCCGTCTTGTCCTGTCCGATCGGTGGTTTTTCCTCCCTCGACTCGGCGAAAGGTGGGGGGGGG